AAAAAAAAAAAAAAAAAAAAGTTCAAGTCCTGACTGGGAATGACTGGGAAATTTAGCAAAACCTTGTCACAAAATAAAATATAAAGGGCTAGGTATGGTGGGGGCATGCCTGCAATCTCAGCACCTTGAGAGGCTGAGGCAGAAGGATAACAAGTTAGAGGCCAGCCTGTACAACTTAGATCCTGTCTCAAAAAAGTAAATAATAAAAATTTTTAAAAAGAGTTGGGGAATATATCTTAATGGCAGAGCAGCCCTGGGTTCAATCCCCAGTAAAATAAAAATTTTAAAAACAGATGGGCATGGGGCTGGGGTTGTGGCTCAGTGGTAAAGCACTTGCCTAGTATGCATGAGGCACTGGATTTGAAACCTGGCACCACATAAAAACAAATAAAATAAAGCTATTGTGTCCATCTACAACTAAAAAACAACAACAACAACAACAACAACAACAAAAAACAAATAGCTGAGCATGGTGGCACATGCCTAAAAATCCCAGTGACTGAAGAGGCTGAAACAGGAGGAGCACAATTTCTAGGTCAGCCTCAGCAATTCAGCAAGACTCTAGTAAGTTAGTGAGACCCTGTCTCAAGATAAAAATATAAAAATAAAAAGAATTAGGATATAACTCAGTGGTAAAGTACCCTTGGGTTCAATTCCCAGTGCCAAAATAAATAAATAAAGTGCTGGGGGTATAGGCTTTGTGGAAAAGTACCCCTGGGTTCAATCTCCAGCACTGGAAAAATAAGTAAGAAAAATTCAGCTGATGAAGTCTTGCACATCAAGACACCACCAAATCCTGAGGCTGATGCAGGAGGATCACAAATTTAGGGTCAGCCTGAATCACAAATTTTAGTCAGACCCTGTCTCAAAATAAAAAAATAAAAAGGGCTGGGTGGGGGGTGGTGGTGGCTGGGGTTGTGGTTCAGAGGTAGAGCACTTGCCTAGCATGTGTGAGGCCCTGGGTTCGATGCTCAGCACAACATAAAATAAATAAAGATTGTGTACAACTACGACTAAAAAATAAATATCAAATAGATAGATAGATAGATAGATAAAAATAAAAAGGGCTAGGATGTAACTCACGGCAGAGTGTCCCTGGGTTCAAGCTCCAGTAGAGGAGAAGGAAAGAAAACAGGAAAAAAAAAAAAAAAGACAAAGAAGCTAAGGATCCAGACAGAGGTTAAGTAATTTACCTAAGCTATGTAACTTAGTAACACAGCTAATATATGAAAGCCAGGATTTGAACCTGAGCAGACAGAATTCTGGCTCATAATCTAGTCATGATTTACTAGTTTAAACCTTGTGCCAAAAAAGAGAAAGTACATCAAATAAATATTACTAGTAGTATTCCTTGAGGATGACCCTGCTATACAATTATAGGTCAAGTGCCAAAACAGATTTTAAAATAATAGACTGCTTCAAAGTTTCTGTTTTCTTCTTCCAGTCTCTTTCTATTTTAGGAGTAGTTTCCTTCCTTGGCCAGAATAAGAAAATGACCTTCTCAGATTAAATGGCTGATACTCTTACTTCTTCATTAGTACTCATTAAATGTTACCATTCACATTTCATTGGAGAGTTAGTCAACTTCCTGAAATGCAGACATCACAAGAACACTCTTCTTTCACACCAAAACAATAACTCATATAAACCAAATGCAAATTATAGCAATATTTGCATGTTTGTAGTTTTTTTAAGCTTGAGGTGTAATTTACATACAACATATTCTATCCTTTCTAACATGATTCTAAGTTTGAATATATAGTTTTAATCACTACCACAATCACAATATAGGCAGCAGCACCATCATCATACCCACATACCCTCCAATTCCTTATACACCATCACACCCCCTGTTTTTCTTATATTATATCATCTTCCCCCGGCAACTACAGACTCAACTACAGACTTCTGGCCCTATTGATTTCCTATCGTCGATTGCCACAGAGATGAATTTAAACATTTCATTTGTTTCCATTGTGGAGCCATTTTGTGTTCATTTACAGTTTTGCATAAGATTTTATTTCTCTTGGGTTTGCTGGATTGTGTGATACAACCTTTTTTCCCCATATTACCTTAATGCAAATTATAAACTTTAGAAAGACTTTTGGCAAGTAATATCTACCCTGATGCCTCAGATTCTAGAATTCCTGTTTTAATACCAACTCATTATAACAAAGTTTTGGATACAATGTTGATATAGTTTGAATATGGTTTGTTGCCTTGAATCACACAGTTTAATCCTCGAAGTCTTATTTAGTGGTATTAAGAGGGTAAAACCTTGGGCTGAGGTGTTAGCCTACCATGCACAAAGCCATGGGTTTGATCCACAGAACCTTAGAGAAAGAGAGAGGGAGTGAGGGAGAAGGAGTATAGAAACTTAAACAAACTGTCTGGAAGTGGAGCTTTGGGAAAGTTATTAGGATATTTGAGTGGAGCCCCTATAATTGAATCCTGGTAGTTTTATAAGAAGAGGGAGAAAATATATACATAGAGATACATATGTATTCTCACCATGTGATGTAGCTAGAATCCATGCTGTGTTGTTTGGACTTCCAGCTTCCAAAATTATAAGCTGAATAAACCTTTTCTTTTCATAAAATAGCCTGTTTCATTATGGTAATAAAAAGCTGACTAATACAGTTCCCAATCAAATCCTTTCCTGAAACATTAACTATTACAGGTAATAGACATTTGTTCAAAGTTACTGTAACTGGGGCTGTGGTGTGGCTCAGTGGTAGAGTGTTTGCCTTCCTGTATGAGGCACTGGGTTTCATTCTTAGCACCACATATAAATAAATGATTAAAATAAAGGTCCATTAATGACTAAAAAA